ATGATGGTTTGTGACAGTTAGTGCAGAAATATATGTGAATTTTGATAGATTATTTATGCTATGCTACGGTTGGTGGCGATGATTAATATTTCCAAATAATTAAATTCATTCATTTTCAACCGTAAAGTCTATATCAATCATGTGGGCGGTCGCATCATCAAGGTTTGTCCTTCAAAGCTGCTGGAATCTTACAAATCTGAAATCATCCTCGAGTCGAATACAGAATTTGTCACAAACAGCATGCAAGGTAAGCGGCAGGAAAACAACTGATCTAGATCAACAACGCAATGGCAGATATCATAGTGCTGTTTACAGTTCAGAATACATGATTTCTGACTAGCGTTATTGTTATTGTGACGACGTCTCGCCCAGTTCCAAATAAGATTATTTTTATAAACTCTTTATATTTGATGAGTTAACACAGATGATCTGTAGTTCATGCATGCACATATTTAATACAGAATGCGTATTTGGCTCCACTGAAATGGCTTTGGGGCTGGATTTGAGATGAAAATGCATCTGCATCTTTAGATTGATTTCTTGATTTAATCTCATTCCAGAATACAGCTATTGTTGAACGCTGTTGGAAGGTTCCTTTATCAAAAGAGGGAAAGCCACCCAGACTACATCCCCGACGACACAGAGTGTACCGCTTGTTTGAGGACACAAAGCACAAACCCCAGGACAAAATGGAGCTCGTCCTCACCCAGACGGTGCCCAGTGGGTGCTCTTGCCTTAAGAAAACGTGTTAAGTATGATTTAAAAACTGGGATTTTGACGTAATATTTATTTTACAGAGCTAGGTGGACGAGGCAACACAGTTTTTGTGAAAAAATCACTGGGCCGCAACAAACTGCTACCCCAAGGTCTGGCTGTCTATCCTTCACAGGAGAATAAAGGCATGTTTGCAGAGGAAATAAGGGTTCGTTAAATCTACAAATCAATTGCCATTAAATTAAAATGTGCTGAAAATGTACTCGGGCCAGGGGCCAGGAGTGTTTAAGTGGGTGTGCCTACATAAAATTGGGTGGGCAAAATATAGAGTATGAAAACTGCATGTCAAATTGCCAACAGAAAATACAGCACAAAGGTTCAATACACAATACTTCTAAAACATTTATTAACATTAATGTTAATTTCAGCGTTTACTAATAAATTAACTGTTAATAATCGTACCTGAGCTAATACAAACAACAGTGAACACTCGTATTTTTATTAAGTAACATAAACAAAGATGAATAAATATTATAACAAATGCATTGCTCGTTGTTAATGTTAGCTAATGCATTAACTTACGTCAACTAAAGCATTACGGGGTCAAGTACAATGTTTATGTGTTTCTTTCCACAAAGGACGCATCTTATTTAGTGGATCAAACACTGTACCTATGCTAATATGAGCTTCAAATAAGCTTGGCTCAGAAGTTTCCAATCTATAAATTCAATTGGGATATCCAGTGTATACTTTTTAAAGAACTGACTGATTGGTATTTGTTTTTCTATTTTCAAATTCCACAAACGTGCGCATTTTACTATTATGTCCTTGCGTCGTAAAAACATTACGAACACTGTGGGTGGGACTAACAGAAACTGACGAATAATCATTTTGACAAGTGTATGGTATGCGCTTGGAAGGAAGAGTGAACATTAAGAAACTGCCTGTATGAAAACTCACGTTTAATATCATTTTAAACTAAATATAAAAAGTTATAGTGAAATTAGATATTTATTATTATTGTTGTTTAATTAATTACATCCATTTGGAAAATGACCAACTTTTAATTGGATGGGCTCATGCCCACCTGGGCCTACCTGTAGCTTCGCCACTGCCTCAGGCCATCCAAGATGTGGACGAGTTTGTTTCTTAACAGATTTGTAGAAATGTAGCATTACATCACTTGCTCACCAATGGATCCTCTGCAGTGAATGGGTGCCGTCAGAATGAGAGTCCAAACAGCTGATAAAAACATCACAATAATCCACAAGTAATCCACACAACTCCAATCCATCAATTAATGACTTGTGAAGGGAAAAGCTGCATGTTTTGTAAGAAACAAAACCACCATTAAGACTATGCCGTCAGAATGAGAGTCCAAACAGCTGATAAAAACATCACAATAATCCACAAGTAATCCACACAACTCCAATCCATCAATTAATGACTTGTGAAGGGAAAAGCTGCATGTTTTAAGAAACAAAACCACCATTAAGACTTTTTAAACTTCAAACAGTTGCTAAAATACAAGTCCTTTGTCCATAGTACTGCTCGTCTGAATCAGGGGAGAAATCTGCACACATCAAGCACTGTTTACAATGCTAAATCTACATTTCTCTAAATCTGTTCTGATGAAGAACAAACTCATCTACATCTTGGATGGCCTGAGGCTGAGTACATTTTAAGCAAATGTACATTTTTGGGTGAACTTTAGCATCATTAACATAATTTCAAATGTTCACGGTTTGCTTTGTTTTTTCCTGTAGCTTCTTCAGGAGGGACGGCCAGAGGACAGAGTCCAGACCCGAACAGGACAGCTAGTGAGTTCTTGTGTGTTTTGGACTATAAAACCATAATATATCCATCCAACCTATTGTGTGTTTGACTACAAAATTACATGTTTTATATTTTGGTATTGGTTTCCACATGAGCTGCTTCATGTTGTCTTTGTGTTCTTGGTGCAGACTGTTGAATTCCTGAAGAAAACGCAGCTTGAAGTTGCCATGCACACTTCAATTCAGTACTCGCTCACTAAAGAGATTGTTTGCAGACAATTTCTTAGACGGGTAAGGGAAGTATAAATTCTGTCAACTCAGAATCTTAAAGGGGTGAAATGTATTATTAGTATTCTTGTTTACATTAGTATATTTGTGTGTATAAAAGTATTGCACACCTACATTGTTCACACAATCCAATGCAGTGGTCTTTTTTTTTTTTTTTTTTACAATTTGTTGTATTTCTGTCCACAGCTCGGTGTGGTTGTGCCGACACATGCCTTGACTCTTCCAGAAGAGCCAATCACAGGGCCCGGACAGTACTGGTGTAATGTCACAGTAAGTGAAACACAGTAAAACATTGACTTTATAATAGTGTTATGATAATTTAGCTCTCATATAATTAATTAATTGCTTGCAGAACTTGCTGTTTGAATGTTTTTTTCCATCTCTCAGGTGAACGGAGTGGACTCAGTCAGGGTGCTCATGTCTGTGGTGCCGTTTGTGGAGCCCAGTCAACGGTTGCTGATGAAGAAAGCGGAAAAGCAAGAACAGTCGGATTCAGAATAGTGTTTTCTTTGCTAAAAATGTCGTGCAGGAAACAACTTGGAGAATGTACACAAGTAATTTGTACAAATAAAATGATTTTTGTTTATTTATTGTCGTGTAGTCTGTTTTTCTTATTTTTCAGGCTCATTTCGGTCTGTCCTGAAGAATTGTTTTTGTTTATTTTCTTACAACATAAAATCAAAATGGCTGATGAAAGTGGTGATGCATCAAGTACATATATTTATTTTGTATATTTAAAAAAAATAAAAAAAAATATTCTGTATATATTTATACATTTTTATAAACTATTTTCCCTGTAACATCAAAATGCATCATTTTGGAGAGAAAAAGCTTAGTTTATTGTGATTGATTGTTTGATTTATTATATATTTAATTTATTAAACACATACGTTATTTATTTTAAATAACACAGTATTATTCCTATTTTAAGTAACCTAAATCATGTTTAATCTGACTGCTGCATTACTTTTGTGTTTGTTTTTTTTCTCTCTCCAGTCTTTGGGCATATTGTGATATATGATCTTATTATTTGTCTCTTCACATTAATTACATTTTTACATAGTGATTGTTACGATCTATTATATATGTCTATGTAAAAATCAGTATTAAGTTCATATTCGAGTAATTGACGTTAAAGTTGAGTAAAACACCCAAATTCAAATAACATTAAGTCATTGTTCAATTTAATGTTCTTGAGCTCATTCCTACATTTTGAGACATTTTTATGCATTTAGCATTAAAGTACTTTTAATCTTCTGCAACTCTATGTAAAAATCTTGTAATTGTCAAATTATATTGTGAAGAAACTTTATTTTTCACAGGTTTGTGTATTTTTTATTTCTGGCAGTGATATAGGAACAATTTCACACATAAACGTGTTTTTACACACAAAATGAAAATTAGTATATATTCTACAGGTGCAGTAAAGGTGTTAAACTTTATTTATGGTTCTATGACTAAGAATCAACATTCATATGAAAACAAGCAGTTAAAAGGATGGAAAGATTTACTCAAAACACATTTTACCATAAGATTGTATACATTACCATTTCAACATTTTTAATATTAATTTGAAGCTATACATTAACTAGTTAATACTGTACATAATTAACAAAATATTTAACACTGAAATTAATAAACGCTGTAAAAAAAATCAATACGTGACGCATTAACTAATGTTAAAGCAGCACTATGTAACTTTTGGCGCTCTAACGGTTAATAAACAGGACTGCACACATCCCGCGGAAGAACATTCCAACCGGAGCTACTTCTCTTAAGTTTATGTCTATGGCGATTCACGCAGGTATGTGTTACTCCGCAGCGGTGACGACCCGACCAGACTACAATAGTCCAAATATAAGTACTTATTATAAGTGTACCGTAGTGATTCGGAATAAGACAAAAACGCGGTTTGGAAGATGAATTCATGATGTACTCGCTCATTATATACATTTAGCAAATTTTGAACACAGAAAAAGTTATATAGTGCTGCTTTAACATAGAGATCCTTATTGTAAAGTGTTACCAGTTTCTTTCACATTTTCAATCATTAATTTTATATATGCCACTGCTCACGATGGCAGTGTGGGAGACAAAACCCTTCCAGACAAAACTAGTTACTTGAAAAAAGTAATCTGATTACGTAACTCACGTTACTTGTAATGCGTTACCCCCAACACTGGTCATGACATCCCAATCATTTAATAAACAAATAAATATGTTACAGGTGACCCAAAACCTTGTGACAAAACCCAATGTAGTTCAAATGGAAAGATAATATCAGGTAGACAATTGGGAGCCATCTTAAACATTTTATTAGCAGCCAATAGTGCTTTAAAAGTCCTTAGCTCCTTTCTGAAACAATACGAACTGGTATCACATCTCTAAAAGCTGGCAAAAATATCACATTTCTGTTATCGGCTGCAGTCTCTGACAAAATCTGCTCAACGTTAGGTAGAGGTGTGCGCAACATCTTGATATCCAGTCCATTAGAATCCGTACTTGGCTTGTGTTTGTCGTCGAGTCAACTTGTTTTCGGCCCAGTTGTTCTTGAGTTCCAGCTCGCGTTCCTTGGCCTGATGAATCAGATATGTGATTTGGTGCTTGCGTCTCTGTTGTCCTGTTGGCTGATCTCCTTTTTTCTGAAAATGAGATGGAAAAGTCAAGACTTTTTCTTTCATTTATCTCCTTCAAACAAATAGCCATCAAAAAAATGGACACTTGAGGTGCTCACCTTGCTGAAGGACTTGCGGGGCTCTGCCTCTGCTGTCATGTTCTTTGTCAGCCATTGCTTATTGCCGCTCAGCTGATCGTCTCCTTTTATCTCCAGGAACTTGATTTCCTCTCTTCCACGATTCTGTTTGCCCTGTAGTCGCCGAAACTGGAAAAATACAAAAAAAATATCATTTTGAACTAAATCTTGATCAACCAGGACAAGTCATGCTAAAACTTGCTGTCATGATGCTGGGATGCACTAGATAGTTGTTAGAACATCCTTAACGGTTGCTAAGTCATGACTTACCGGCCCAAGTCAAAAGACCCCACCGCTATACAAAATTTTACACCTGTTTTGCATCCACCAGGCAAAATTATACATAAAATCTCAACAGTATGTATGAAATGAAGCATTGTTTCAAAGAAGTGAAATAAATACACACCTAAGAATGTGACTATACAATAATAATAATAATTATTATTATTATTAATTAAAATAATATTTTTATTATTTAAATTACAAGAATTAAATCAATAAAGAGATACTCTACTGCAAGATACAAAAATTAGAATTTAATAATAATCATAATATTTTATTACTTAAATTACAAAGAAATTAATTAATATTACTAAGAAATGTATAATATATACAAATAAATTACTATTGCAATAATACTATTATAATGTACAATAAAAAGCAAGAATTTAATAAATCATCATACTTTAATCTTTTAATTATTAAAATTACAAAAAAAAAACAAATTTAATATATTACAAAGAAATATATTACCACAGCAATAATACTATTATACTGTACAACAAAAATGAGAATTTAATAATAATACATATAAATGTTGGTATTGTTCTAAATAATACTTTTATTTTATCACTACAAAAAATATATTTCTTAAAGAAATTACTATTACTACTGTACAATAAAAAAATAATCTAATAATAATAATAATTAATATTATATTTTATTTCATTATTATTTAAATTACAATATATGTTACTATAACGTTAATACTATATATTTTTTTAAATATAATTTTTTTTTTTACAAAATACCAACAATAATGATCATTATTTTATTTTAAAGAATAATAATAAAATTACAATACTAATATGTAAGTCTATGAGTGGTACTTGGGTAGTTGACAAATATACCGTAAATGTGTCCTATAGTGTGACAGCAAAAATGTAGAAAAAAAAAAACTAACAATGAAGAAAAATCTCTCTTATGCTATTTGTATATTATTAACAATTATTTACAAGAAATTAATTATTAATAATGATTAATTATTATTTTCGAAATTTTGCTGTTACACCATCGGGCACATGTACGGTATATATGTCAACAACCCACTTATACTTGGAAAATATGGAAATCCATATAAATACAGAACAAACACATCCCTGAGTACCAGAGATGCTACAAACAACTCACTGCTTCATCATTGAACAATGAAGAGGACCCTGAAACTTCTTGCTCATCAGCGGCAGCGTTTGGGTCTTGGTAATATCCCTCGCCATAGTAATCCTGCCAAACATATGCATAAAACATCAGCTGCTGAAATGACAAGGAACACATGGTGTATGAAGCTTATCAATAATGACATGTTTTACCTGTGGAGAAGTCTCTGGCAGTGGATTTGCGGGATACTCCTGGTACTGTTGTTGATATTCTTCCGTCTGATAGTCTTGCATGGCTCCGACTGACCTACTGTAACTGTCTGCTTTAGAAACAAAGTCCAGCGGAGCGTCCTCCACACCGGGTGGAGGGTGTAGAGAGGGAACATACTGTTGAGAATGCAGGTTTTGAGACATCACAGGCTGTGCTGAGCTTTCCGGAAGGGAAAAGTAGTTCTCTGGAGTGAGTTCATCGTCACTTCCCTCTTCATCCGCGGCCATTTGTTTGGCTAGCTGCATCGCCGCTGACTTTGCAGCTGCTTTGATTGCGGACGGGGACGGGCTGGTTCCAGAAAGACCCTGGGACTTTGCCGGGGTTGCCTTTGGCTTATCCGATCCAGGGCGTTTGGTTAGAGTGTGCGGCAGCAGGGGCCGCTTGGTCTCCTTCACCACCAGATTCTTAGGTTGGGGCAGCAGAGAGGACAGACCACCACCTCCCTGGAAGAATATGGAGGAAAATATTTTTATTTACTATGATGGTAAATCCAGCCAGACCATTTATTCATTAAATTTTTTGAAAATTATAATGTAAAATGGGCCATCGAGAGAATGCTGTGGTAATGATGCCACAATCAACAGCTCATTAACATATGCCCGCCCACCTTAATCCTTATAGGTTGTTTGCGCATGACGTCACTGATGACGTGCGAAATGCAGCTGGAGGGCAGGAAGGTAAGTTACAGGGTATGTGGCTGTTGGTCCTGTTAGCAGCACGTAAAACAACTTTTATTTAAATTCTGAATCGATTATAGCCTGGAAAGCGAGCAAATAGCGCTTTCATATGACGTTAATGACTAAAAAGCTGTCACTCACTTCAATTTATCGCAATCTCACGATTCTGTGATATGAAGCTCTCAGAACTGCAAACAGTATCTTATTTGCATCGTGTCTATGTGTGGCGTTTAGCATTCAGTGAATTCTGACTGTGTCACCCTGTATCTATTTATATATTTCTTTATTAATATCTTAATATATTATTATATCTTATATTAATCATTTGCACACACGAGCATTATCCGGCTTCGCCCCTCCCGACGGCAGACGCAGGTTTACAAGCCACTTTTTCCTGCGTTTTTCAGTCAATTTCTTGACTTTTTCCCCCTTATGAACAACACATTTTCGTACACGATAAAAGCTCCTTGTGGTTTCTTGGTTTGGTCGATTTGAGCATCCATAAACAACGCAAAACACAAGCATTTTGAATTTTGTTAGTGATTTCTATGGAGAAAAATCACTTCCTGCCCTCCAGCTGCATTTCGCGCGTCATCAGAATCACGTGATTGCAAACAACCTATTCATGAGAGAAAGAACTACAATCCTATGAAGCATTGTGAATGGCATAATTAAAATAAAAATGATTCATATAAACTATTGATTTATTGATAAAACATTGATTATGTGTATAGAAACAATATATTTTATGTTTACTGCAAAATATGCAGAGTGGAAGTATTTGTTTGTTGTGATTCCCTGATTGGTGGAGATTTCTGCAGAATCATGGGTAATGTAGTTTTCAACTGCAATTCTGCTGTTGTACATGATTATTTAAAAAAAAAAATAATAATAATTACCAACACCGTAGCTCACAGTAGGTTTGTTTTTATTGGTTTATAAGTTAGTGTTAAAAATCAATTCCCCAATGAAAAAAATGAATGAGATTTTTACTTCCGAAACCTGACTGTTGTCCTCTATAAAGGAACAGTAGTAAAAATACTTAATAGATCATTATAAATAATTCATATCTAATTACAGATATTTAATAATAGTTAGTTTTAGATATTTAAATGTAAAATATCTTGTTTAAACCTAAGGATCAGATAGCTAATTATAAATAATTTATGTCTAATAAATATCTTTATATCTAATTATAGATATGTAATATTTAAGATATTTTTTTATACATTAGTTAAATATAAAAGTAGCTTGTTTAATTCTAAGGGTCAGAAGAGCGGGTAAAAAAAATTCACTTCTCCAATATTTTTTTATCCATACCTGAGGAGCTGATTTCTTTCGGACGGGCTCGTCCTCATCAGAGCCAGACTAGAACAGAAAAACACCATCAATCAGAAAGAGCTTCAGTAAAACGATTGGAAGCGTGTCTTCTGGTGATGTGTCTTTGGGTCCATCTGCAAGGTACATAAACACTCTCAGATTTCTGATAACTGAGCCATATTTAAAATATCTGAATGTCTAATACTCTAGGTAGAAATGCATTGTTTTAAAACTTTTGGAAACCCCACCTTTCCACTGCTGGGGAATGATGCCATCTCTTCTCTGATAGACTGGTTTGGGAATAATCCGTCCTGTCCTGACAGAAACACGTACGCGCTCGCCCTCTTCAGTGTATCTCCACTCGATATCTGTGGGCTTCCTAAGAAACATTAGACACAGATGCATACATTAAGAGCTGGGTACATTGCGTTCTATTTACTGACAAGATGCGTGTTAAATATCGCATGCGATTTATCATGCAGCCCTACTCTATTTCATGTTTGATGCTCACCTGTCAGTAGGGTCAATTAATGTAACATCCTTCAGCATCAGAGGAGCTTCACTGGCGATGTATGTACCCCGGTAATCTCCAGATCTGCCAATATACCTGTAATGCTGCAATTTGCAATGAAATTATAACTAAGAATCGTACTAGTTTTAGGTAAGTTTTACTCCTACCGTGTTGAGGCCCTGATTTACCGCTGATTACAGAATGGCTTTACTGACAAGATGCGTGTTAAATATCGCATGCGATTTATCATGCAGCCCTACTCTATTTCATGTTTGATGCTCACCTGTCAGTAGGGTCAATTAATGTAACATCCTTCAGCATCAGAGGAGCTTCACTGGCGATGTAAGTACCCCGGTAATCTCCAGATCTGCCAATATACCTGTAATGCTGGAAGAAAGTGTTTGAAACAATTAAAAGTGCTGTTTTGCAATGAAATTATAACTAAGAATCGTACTAGTTTTAGGTAAGTTTTACTCCTACCGTGTTGAGGCCCTCGAGTATGACCCAGGATCGCCGCCGAAACACCTGAGCAACTTTGCCCTGCTTTCCTTTGTCCTTTCCAGACAAAATCTCCACCTGGTTTGAATTATGGTGTTATATAGATATGCATTTTGAAAAATAAGCTTCACTGGCGATGTAAGTACCCCGGTAATCTCCAGATCTGCCAATATACCTGTAATGCTGGAAGAAAGTGTTTGAAACAATTAAAAGTGCTGTTTTGCAATGAAATTATAACTAAGAATCGTACTAGTTTTAGGTAAGTTTTACTCCTACCGTGTTGAGGCCCTCGAGTATGACCCAGGATCGCCGCCGAAACACCTGAGCAACTTTGCCCTGCTTTCCTTTGTCCTTTCCAGACAAAATCTCCACCTGGTTTGAATTATGGTATGTTATATAGATATGCATTGTGAAATAATACAAATATAAAAAAGACAAACATATATTTTTTCCTATTAAGGAAAGTTATAATGTGAAAAATGACTACTGAACTGTTAAATGTATTATTTATTTGCATTTTTTTACCCATTTTAATCAATTTTGTATGTATTTATTTCAAAAAGTTTTTATTTTCTTTAATCCCATCTTAATTATTTATTTTATACATTTTTTTCAACACTGATTCTCTGTAAACTTTTCCACGGTCCCATTAGCACTCCCTCACAACCACTTATGGGTCCCCGGACCCCAGATTGAAAACCCCTGGTTTAAACAATATCAGTACTATTTACATTTCAGTGGACTAAAAGGTGCGTCTGATCTGCAAGCAGTCAAGGGTGGGGGGGAAATACCTTCACTAAGCATTAAAAGCTTTCAAGATATAAAAGACAGAAAGGATCACTTACTGTGTCACCTCTCAGCACAGGCCAGTCCTCATTTGCAATAGGTTCAACAAACACCTTTCTTCTTTTCTTGCCGGGTGGATTGAGCCGCTGGGCTGCGATCGTCCACGGTCTGTTTGTCCCATAACGATAATCATGTGGAAATGCAGCTTTTGCTGCCATAGAAAGCAACGCTGTCAGTCTCATGCTGCTGTGGATGATCAAAACAAAGAACCAGTTAAAAAACGCAGACAATTCACAATTATGTCTGAAATCTACATTTGAATGACCTATATTTTGTGCATTTCTACGTAGAAAAAAATACAACATATTTTAGGTGGCATATTCTCCAATGACAGTTTGTAACGCTACAGCGGAATCTTCACTTACAGCAGTCACTTTCTTGTGCGTTGTGACCAGTGTTTCGGGATTATGTATAGGGTTTTTGTAGCGGTCCCACATAATACAGTGATAAACTACTTACCTGAATTATTGCTGCGGCTCTAAGATGCACATTTAATTAAAATAACCGAATTTATTTTGTGGTAATCATAAATTCTACATCCACAAGGGTCAAACTTGTGTAGAACATGCGCTACTTCCTTTTCCTTTAGAGCCAAGCGACGTAGATGTCAAAATAAAAGTCTCGATTGGCAGCGCACACGTTCTAAATAAATAACAAAGACAAAGAAAAGAAAATAATAAATTAAAATAAATGACAGTCAGGGTATGCTAGTAAATTGAATTTTTTTAATTGAATAGAGTTATTTTAATATGTTTTAGAAATTTATATTACGGATTTATAATAATTAAATAAGTCTTTCTGAAATACAGGCAATGGTAATGGTTATATTGGCACGTTTATAGATATAAAGGTTTTCCTATCCAGAAGTTATTAGGAGGGATATATGTTATTAAGGATTTTTAGAATTGCTTTTGGGGGAATATGAAAGCATAAATACATTGCTCTCAATTTCTCAGTGATATTTACCAATAAATATATGCCACCATATTACTGAAATGTATCATTTGTTTTGGTAAACGACAAACAATAATTGGAGTGAAATAAATCAAAGGAGTGTAAAAAGCTCTTTGAGTTGAGCTTGACATTAAAGTGTGGCCTGTATTAATGAATCACAGCTATGTTCATAAATTAGGTGTTCTTGCTAACTGTTTCAGTACATAAAAGTAAATGCCAGGTAAACACTTGGGCAATGAATATTAAATATTACTACAGTAGTATTTATTATTGCCAATTGATGAATTAATTCCACCATACAAAACCATAGTATGACATTTCTACATTTTAAGAAAATACTCATCATTGTTAGGCCAATAACAGTTGTTTATGCTTCATGAAAATGTACACAAAAATTATAGTTGCCTGACAGAATATTAAAATTATTCTCTTTTTTTACTTGCATAAAACCATTAACCAATCAAATCGTCTTTTCATTCTGTATCTAAGTAGGATGACTCAGACCAGCCAATTAGCGTCGAGCTTTGCTTTGTAGTCAGGCAGACATAACACAGTCGTCCAATCACAAAATAAGCCGAAAGGGGATTTTTGCTCTATATTTGTCTCAGGTAGTTTCTTTTTCGTTTATAAAATAAACGGTACCATTATTTTGTATTTGAATGAGATATTGCACTAGGTAAACTTTGTACAATTATAATAGATATATTTTATTAGAAAGGCCAGGTATTTTAACGTAATAATCGAAGGTTTTCGGAGCGTACAAGTGTGGCTAGCTAGTTCTATAGCAAGAGTCATTGGTGGTATGATATTAACGATAGCTAGCTTGTGCATACATATACTAAAACCCAAAGTTTTTTTAAACAAATAATATCATTAAATTATGAATTACTGTAAGGAAGTGATCATTTATGTCGGTTTCGTTTAGTCGACGTCTCTTCGGCCTGTTCGAACTCATGTTAGCCTATTAGCTGCTATGTCATGCTCATTTAAACCAGGCTGCTGTGAGGTTTATTTCTAGTGATCAGTAAGCATTTGCATTTGATAATATGGTTAACTTGCGCTAAAGTGAGCTTTTGGTCATAAATAACCAATGGCTTCGTCTAGTTGCTGGTTGGTTGGCCTTTCAATACGCCCACAAAGAGATACACATGTGTGTAATCAACCAAACCTGTGCATTTTTCAAATATGCTAGTCGTATATTAAATTAAATAATGCATTAAAGTGATTGGATTTGATACTGGTATCACGCATACACCGGCTGAAAGCATCAGTTTCTTATGTTGAGATCTTCATTGGGCGCGTGTGTGCTGAAAATGAGGAAATGTCTGGACTGGGGCAGGAAAAACAACCCTGCAGTATTTGGGCATGGTCGCTATCCGATTGACCTGACAACAGTTTCATGAGTGGCTGTATTTTCGAAATGGGGAAAATATCTTGAGCGTTTAGGCGTGGGAGAATTAGGCGCTTGCGTGGTTTCATTTCGTGTTTACAGTCTGTGGCTGTATGTGTAAACATGACCTAAATATGTCAGTTTGTCGTGAAACTGATGATCATTTGCAGACATGTGATGCATTGAATGTTTACCAGTAAGCAGTTTGTTCTAAGAACATTTTAATATATTGCCTGCAGACTTTAAGTTGTTGTGCATATTAGAGAAATACTATAAAACAATTGTGCATTTTAAACACTTGATACTACAAATATGGTCTAAAACTGCAACACCCTACAACTTTTACTATTGACGTTTAGTTGCATTGATCTAGTGTGTAAAGTTCTGGTTGCGTGCAGAATAATCTCTTGATCAACCTATAATTAATTTACTTTTTAAAACACACTGTTGCATATTAGACACTCAGAATTAAAAGTTGGCCAAAACCTTATGCAGACACATACTAACATCTACCTCATGTTCTAGAGCTTCAGGTCCAGGAGGGTTCTGAATGCAGTTTGTCGGTCCAGTGTGGTTGAGACATGGCAGAAGATCAGTTAAAGGCAGAAGCCTCGGCTGGGGAGGGGGAGACGGAGCCCAGTATGCTGCTGCAGAAGCTTAAAAGCAACATTTCGTAAGAGCTGTTCATTTTTACTCTTTCTTCATTGTGGTTCAGATAGAACCTTAAAGCTTTATTTCCTGAAGAAATGGTATATCATGGTTAAAATATTAAGCAGAACGTTTGTTTGTAGAGCTGTAGCATTAAGGGAATAGTTCACCCAAAAATGAAAGTTTGTGGAAAATTTACATCCCCTCAGACCATTCAAGATGTAGATGAGTTTGTTTCTTCATCAGAACAGATTTGGAGTAATTTAGCATTGCATCACTCTGCAGTGAATGGGTGCCGTCAGAATGAGAGTCCAAACAGCTGATAAAAACATCACAATAATCCACAAGTAATCCACACTGGACTCCAGTCCATCAATTACTGTCTTATGAAGCGAAAAGCTGCATGTTTGTTGTTTGTAAGAAACAAATCCATCATTAAGGCATTCACTGCAGAGGATCCATTGGTGAGCAAATGATGTAATGATACATTTCTTCAAATCTGTTTTGATGAAGAAACAGACACATCAACATCTTGGATGACCTGAGGGTTAGTTAATTATCAGCATGTTTTTTGGGTGAACTATTCTTTTAAGTTGAAGCCCGAACCCTTAATGTAATTTATGTATGCATCATACATGTGTGTATGCGAATGTATATGCAAATATATGCATTTTTTTCTATCTTTTCACAGTAAAAATGTGCAGGGCAAAGTGGACAGAATTTTGGTAAGTTTCTTAGTGGATAAAATAAAATGAAATTTGAGTCCTCTGAAATGTTGTAATTTATATCAAGTGTATTTTCAATCTTATTTGAAACAAGAATATAACAGGGTGACACTTTTTTTATTAGCTATAGCATGAACACAATAGTAAAAGTTTATATAATCTCATTTACATACGTTTGAACCCACAACTATTACATTAGCAGTTCAGTTCTATTATCACTATACAACCACTCATGTTTATATTGTGTTACAACTGTGTCCTGTTGTATTGTATAATATTTCACACTCATTCAGCTTATTTGTACATTTACAGTGTTTTTGAGCACATTGTCTTGCCCTTATTCTGTCTTTCTTCCTGTGACATGTCTCCTCTCAGGAAGATGTACAGCGTTTCTCTGACAACGACAAGCTCTACCTTTACCTACAGCTACCCTCAGGTCCAGGTGCAGGAGAGAAGAGGTACATAAAAGCACACAAATATACTTTAGTCAGCCTTGATCCATTTTTTAAAATCTGTATGTTTTTAATTGATCAATTCTGAATATTAAATTAAAATATTTGATGTCCCTTAAGCACCAAATACACAAAATAATGTTCTTTTTAGCAGCATCATATGACCCCTCTAAAATCCCAGCAATCAGGGTAGCTAAAAATAACACAGATGTGACAAGACATGTTATATGTGACACATGTTTGCAAACTGCTTCTCTGTGTGCACCAGTGGTGATTCAAACTCGGTTAACACGGCAGATCAGCTTCAAACCTGCAACTGGATCCGTAGCCACTTGGAAGAACATCCTGACACATGCCTGCCTAAACAAGATGTTTACGAGACATACCGGTAAGGACTGGAGAGCAGAATATGCACACAAGCCTCTTTGTCTGAGTTATATTTCAAAGTAAACACTTTCTGGCTGTTTCCCTAGACTTTTAAGGGTCCATTATCTGTTTTGTTCTGTCCATGTTTGCAGTTTGTCACAAAATACAGTGATTACTTACTGGTTTTTATATCTAAACAGGAAGCACTGTGACAACTTACAGCATCGACCTCTAAGTGCAGCAAATTTTGGCAAAATCATCCGAGACATCTTCCCAAACATTAAAGCACGAAGACTGGGTGGTAGAGGACAGTCCAAATATCCTTTTGTCCCTAATTTCATTTAATTTGTATAAAACGTAGACAAACATTTATGACTTCTAAAACCCTATCTGGAGCAGACACCATGACATCAGAGTGAATTTGGATTCACCATACTCATGAAAACACACACATTCAACTGTTGAAGATTTCTAAATGTTTGAGATATTTAGATGGCTTTCTGCACATCATCAACACCCTTGATACAGGTTTTATCTGTAATGGTTTGGTTTTTAAGATGTCTTTTGACAAATAAATGTTATCTCATGCTTTAAATTCATTCAAATTATTGAACTAAATTCAAACTAAAATTTGTCCCTTAACATAATTGCCAGCACATACTGCTATAGTGGGATTCGTCGAAAGACCGTGTTAAACATGCCATTACTCCCTAACCTGGACCTCAAAAATGACCCGGTATGATTGTCTTCTTACTAGGGCTGCCCTCGACTAAAGATTGGTCAACTAGTAGTCGTTCATTTTAAGCATTAGTCGACTAATCGCACGTTTATTATTAAACCATTTAAATCATGCTAATGAGCCTTTAATTGCCTACATAGCCTAATAAGCGCTCAAGCACACACATAAAGCTTGCCATAGCACACCAGCAGAAGTAATGATTATGAATGTGTCAGGGAAAAACAGTAAGATTAAACTGCATTAACATTTTAATAATCTATTGATAAACTAGTGTTTTCGGTTTAAGAGATGAATTCGGCTACACTGACTCGTCATCTCCACAGTAGT